CCACCGGTAATAAAAAAAGTAAGTCTGAACTAATGAAAAATAATTTTGATAAATGGAAGGACCCACAAACCGGCTATTGGCACGCAACTTGCAAGTGGTGCAACAACAATTATAGTTTGGGAACCTCCGGCGGATACGGATCTGCCGCAAGGCATCTTAAGGCAAAGCACCCCGTGGAGTATGCAAAATTAGCCGGCGGAACGGGGAAGCAAACTCAAATATCGAGGTTTGCGAATTCTCAACCTTTTGATAATTTCTCCTACAATGATGCACAAAATTTGACTGGTATGGCTAACTTAATTTGTGAAGAAAATTTGCCTTATTTGTTTTCTGAAAGTCTTGCTTTAAGAGATTATGCACAAGGTAGTTTAAATCCTCAATTTAAAAATTATAGTCGCAAAACTGTTAAGAAAGAAATAATAAGGCTTTATAATGCGGAAAAGACAAGGTTACAAATTTTTTTTGCAAACTTTGATGGGCGTGTTACTATTTGTTCTGACATATGCGAGGATGATTTTCATCATTTATATTATTTGGGTCTGACTGCACATTATATTGATGAGGATTGGAATATGCATAAACATGTTCTTGCTTTTCGTGAATTTAATGATCGTCACACCGCTGAACATATTTATATTTTGATTGAGCGTATTTTAATTGAGTATAATTTGATTGATAAGGTGTTTGCTATTAGTTTCGATAATGCTACTAATAATACTGCTGCTATACCTAGATTGCGTGAGTTGTGTGGTGCCAATACTTTGATGGGTAGATTTTTTCATCAACGGTGTGCATGCCATGTTATAAATTTATGTGTGCAAGACGGTTTAAAAGCGTTAGGAGATTCCATGGAGGTAATCAAGGGGGGGATTAGACGTATTTGGGGTAATGGTCAACTTAGATTAAAATGACAAACTTATTTGACTGAAAGAGATGTGAGATATGTTGCTTTTCCTAAAGATTTGAGTATTCGTTGGAATAGTACTTATAAATTACTTAAAGTTGTTCTTAGATATAAAGAACATTTTCCTGTTTTTTTAAAAGAACATGATAACTATATTATAAACGCAGCTGAGATCGACACTTGCGAAAAAATTTGTAATGTTTTGATATATTTTTTTAATGCTACTGAAACTTTTAGTCATGTTTACAAACCTACCGCAAACCAATTTATTCCACAAGCTGTTAATCTCGCCGATGCTTTTAAAGAATTTCAGAATGCCGTTTTCGTTCATTATTTTTGTGATTATATGAAGGAAAAGTTTTTAAAATATTATGCGCATATTCCCCATATTTATGGTATTGCATTTATTCTCGATCCTTGTTATAGACTTGCTAATTTGGAAGATTGTTTCAACTTCTATTATCTTGCGTTTTTTGGTGAATTTCCAATGTATGACGATAACCCCATAGATCCGAAAACGGAATACAACGAGGTTAGTACTTTATTTTATGCCTTATTTAATGAGTTTCGTGCACAATATAGCAACGCTCCCCCTCCCCCGTCACGAACATCTTCATCTAAAGGAAAATCGATTTTTAAATCTGCATTTGGCAATCTTATGAAAAAAACAAAAACAACTCACGTCACTGAACAAAGTGCATTGAATGAGATTACTTTGTATTTAACATATGAAGTTGATTTTGAAGAAAATGATGACTTTGACGTTCTAGACTGGTGGAAGTCAAAAGAAAGAACGTTCCCGATTTTAGCACGGATGGCTAAGCAAGTACTATCAATGCCGATTTCAACAGTTGGTGTGGAACAAGAATTTAGTTTGGCCGGCAACGTCCTAACGGCATCTAGATCGAGATTGAGCGCGGAGTCTCTTGAGACGCTTATATGCTACCACGATTGGTTGAAGACCGCACGTAGAACTCAAGAAATGAGCATCACCCCCTCCCAAGATTTTATGGATGACTCAACAACCGATGGTGGCTCTACCTATGCCGGAGATTCCGATTGATTAGTATTTTAGAATTTATTATAAAATGTATTTTATAGCACTTGTCAAATTTATTTATACTTGTACTTCATATTTCAAAATTGTAAACTTGTACTTCATATTTCAAAATTGTAAATTTGTAGTTGTACTTCAAATTAATTTGTAAACTTGTACTTCATATTTCAAATAAATATGTGTTCACTTTTTCATATGTAGCACTTCTCAAATTAATTAATTGGTTACAAACTAACGACTTAAAATTATTTTTCTAAAATATAAAGCCGGTTTTTAAATTAAAAATACATTTACAATATGTAATTTGTTTAAATACTTATAAACCTATTTTGTAACATTTGTAAATTATAAATCAAACCACTTTTCTAAGTACAAATAGTTTTAGTTTTACTTAATTCATTAAATTTATTTATTTATTTTACAATATGTATAACTTAAAAAAAATTGAAATCAAACCTCCCAAACGGCTATATAGCCGTTGGGGCTATGGGTGGGGGGCAGGGGGGTCCCGGGGGTGGTGGTGTGGGGAGTGGGGTTCAAAAACATCTATAAATACATCTATTTTCTAACATTTTTCTACACCTCTTCTCCAATTCTTCTCCAACTCTTCTCCATCTTCATCTTCTCTTATTATCCTACATTCCTACTTATACATATACCATTTTAAATATGGAAAGTACATCTTCCCTTATGCAAAACAATTTTGACAAGTGGAAGGACCCGAAGACCGGACTGTGGTGGGCAACTTACAGGTGGTGCAAGAAAGAGTGTTGCTTGGGGCGTTCATACGGATACGGGATGTCAATAAAATATATGAAGTCCTGTGACAAAGGGAAAACAACAACCAACGGTGGCGGAAATCTCAATTGATATTCATTAGAAAATGTATTTCGTATTATTATTTTTTTCTCAATTCTCAAATGTAGTTCTTATTTCAAATAAATGCACTTGAACTTTGTTTTTAATACTGGCCCGGCCCGGCCCGGCGGGTGGCCCGACCTGTGACCCGGGCGGGTGGCCCGGCCCGAACCGGAACCGGCCACTGCCCGGGCCGGTCCCGGGCCTACCATTACAAGACCCGAGGCCCGACCGGGCCTTGACCCGGCCCGAGCCCGACCCGGCCTGGGTCCATCACTAACCGGAACCGGAACCGGCCACTGGCGGTTCAGGCTCGAGCCCCAGTTTTCTGGCCCGAGGCCCGGCCGGGCCCAGGCCCGAACCGGCCCGAGTCCAGCCATAAGTGAAACTAAACATGCCCACCCATACTTAGAAGTTGTTCTCTTCGCCTGATCTGAATGTTTCAGATCTGAATTTTTTAAGTTCTGATCTGATCTGAATTTTTCTGATCTGATCTGATCTGATCTGAATCTTTCTGATCTGATCTGATCTGATCTGAATCTTTCTGATCTGAATCTTTCTGATCTGATCTGAATGTTTCTGATCTGGTCTGATCTGATCTAAATGTTTCTGATCTGATCTGAATCCTTCTGATCTGATCTGAATCTTTCTGATCTGATCTGATTTGAATATTTCTATGATTATAATTATAATTATAATTATTATAATTGCAATTACAAATATAATTTAAATAAAATTATAATTATAATCGTAACTATAAAAATAATAATAATAATAATAATTAAAATTAAATTTAAAATGAAAAAATTTATACTTATTACGCTAATTATAAATATAGATATAATTATAATTGTAATTATATTTTTAATTATAATTACTTATATAATTATAATTGTAATTATAATTACAATATTTATCTCTATAATTGTAACTATAGTTATCAATATTATTATAATTACTCCGTAAAATAATTACAATAGTAATAATAATAATAATAATAATAATAATCATAAATTATAATTATAAGTATAATTATAATTATTACAATTATAATTAATAATAATTATAATTATATTAACATTAATTATAATATTATAATATAATAATAGTAATATAAATACAATTAATATTATAATAATGATATTATTATATTCATATTATTATTACAATAATATAATAATAATAATATGATTATTATTATTATAATTAGTATTATATTATTATAATATTATATTATAATTATAATTATAATCATAATTATAATTATGATTGTAATTATAATTAAAATTATAATTATTATAATTATAATTAATTACAATTATAATTATAAATATTTATAGATATAATTATAATAAATACAATTGATTATACTTATAATTATAAGAATTATAATTGTAATTATAATTATAATTACATATAATTATAATATAATATTATATTAACATTAATCATATTATTATTATATTGTAATAATAATAATAATGATAATGATAATGATAATGATAATGATAATGATAATGATAATGACAATGATAATGATAATGATGATGATGATGATGATGATGATGGTGATGGTGATGGTGATGATGATGATGATGATGATGATGATGATGATGATGATGATGATGATGATGATGATGATGATAATAATAGTCTTCTTAATAATTACATTTATATTACTATTATTATATTAAAATATTATAACTATTATTAATATCTTATTTTTTTTATCATATTATTATTAATATTATTAATAATAAATATATAATAATAATCATAATTGTAATAACAATATTAATAATAATTAATATAATAATAAAAGTGATAAATCATGTTTGAACTTTTCTGATCTGATCTGATCTGAATGTTTCTGATCTGATCTGAACGTTTCTGATCTGGTCCGATCTGATCTGAATCTTTCTGATCTGATCTGAATCTTTCTGGTCTGATCTGATCTGATCTGATCTGAATCTTTCTGATCTGATCTGATCTGATCTGAATTTTTCTGATCTGATCTGATCTGAATTTTTCTGATCTGATCTGATCTGAATAAAATAAGAATAAGCAATAAGTAATAAGAATAAGACGAACAGAACAGCACCTTACTCAGTTACTCTTATAGTCTTATTCACTTGTTCCCAGAGGGAATCTCCAAGGAAAACACGATAGTTTTCCAATAAGTCTCAAACTAATGCAGGTTTTCTTATAAAAGCTTCATAATCCAGTACGAATTGGCCGGTTTACCACGGTCTAGTAAAAATAACTGTATGTCTATGCCTTATGAATTGACAGTTGATTAAACAAGTTTAGAAATATTCAAAGAATAAATAAAAGTACATCAACCACTAAGAACTAATTCAAGGGCACAAAATGTGTAATTTACAATGGAAAAGAAACTTTTATAATACAACAAATCAACCAATGCTTACAGCACTTCACAGTTTAAAAAAACAATATGGGAATAGGACCTTGCAGTCACAATGTCCATTGCTTTACCAACTTCCCCGCCCTTATGAGTGCACTCAGTTCTTAGTTTTCTGAGTCGTCGTCTAGTAGAACTTCTTTGGTGCGTGGTCTTTTTTGAGGCGTTTCATGTTCAATTATGGCCCCACCATCTTCGGTTTCAAGCTTTGAAGATGCCATACAACCAGACTCAGTGGCTGGGAATAGAGCAAGAGAGGGAGAGATGCTAGCCGGAGAGGAAGCACAAACTGGGTCAGTACACGAACTGGTCTGGCTTGCACCAGCACAACATCCAGTTTTCTGTTGTTCTTCAAAGATCTTCTCCAAATACCTTGCATGTTCTTCAATCCTCGACTGAAGCGCTCTTTGTACCTAATAACAGAAAAGGAGTATGCTGCAAGATCAGTGCTTCTAAGTTCTAACAGTACACAATTATGAAGTTTCACTATTCTAGGGTCCTTTAGGAAACTTGATAATAATTGCCAAAGAAAATAGTGAGTAAAATAGAAGGGGGGGGGGGAATAGGCTCGAACTCAAAAAATGTATTGTTGATATTTGTTCAAACTCATCTCATTTGATATACTTTATTAGTGAGTACACAAATAATTAAAGACTGATGTGTAAAAAATATTAAAAAAATAAATAACATTTCACATTCCTCAGCAGTTTTTCCTTTGACTGGTATTTGCTAGGGTACACGCATGCCACTGATGTAGAGGCGTAGGGTCAGTATTATTACTAGTTTACTACAGCTATGGATGAAACACAAATAAACTTCAGCACCAAATTGATCGACCATTTAGACTTCAGCATTACTACCTCCAGTTGCTCATGTAGTTTTTTCTGAACTTCTATTTGCATTCGTAAAGCTTCCAGGACTTGAGTGTTCCTGCATTATGGAGGAAAAAACTCATGCTCTTCAGGAACACATAAGAGAAGTAAAATCTTAAAAGTACGAATTCATCTAAAAATAGCCTTGTTTATAATGCTAAAAACAGCACCATTAACATAAATCTTTTTTGGACAGAGGAAGTTGAAATGTTTACCCTTTCCCCCTTGCTTTACTGATAACAGTTGCTTCATTATCTCCAGTGCTGGAATTTTTATCTGAGGAAACAGAAAAAGATATATAGAGATCCTCAGAATATCAAATAGACAAAAATATCAACACTAATTGGCTTAAATATGCAAGTAAATAAAATGGATGTCCATGAATTTTAAAAAAGGAAAGTGATTTTATTATTTTCATAAAATGATCTATAACACAATCATACAAAATGCATTGTTTATTTCATAATAACTTGCAAAATGACAGTACAAATTGGGGGAAGTGATATGGATCTCTATATTGAGTGTGACATATAATGATGAAATATCTGTAAAGGTCAACTTGCTGTAATAGACCATAGGGACAATCCAATTTTGATTTTCCTTAGAAGGAAGATAAATGGGGCCATTAAAAGAATAATACAGTTAAACATCCAAATTCCACCATGCAACTTAAATCTTATATGCCTTATTCAGATTAGTATGAATGTATGATCATGAAAATGAACGTCGTCAATGCTAATGACAAACAGATACGTTAGAGAAGATATCGCCCAGAAATGTTTTACCTTCACTTCTTTCAGGCATATACTTCGCAAGTCTGTATTTCTGCATAAAACATTAAATAATCATTTACCAAAATTCATCAGCAATTATAAACACTGGAAAAAATGGAAGACTTAAAATCACCTGGAGGTGGCTCTTCACATGATAGATAGTCAAACCTTCAACTTTCATTAGTTGAAGCACAGCCTTTGGGGTTGCCTCTACAAATTACAAAACGAAAAAGTAAGATCGCACTGGTTTTCTTTACAAAGAACTTAGAAAACGGTTAAAAGCTTTCCAACACAGACAAGCAGTCGAAAAAAATTATTACAAAATAAACATGACATACTTTCAGGACCATCTAGTCTCTTTACAGCCTCCATAAAGCATTCATGAAGCTCAGGTGTCCATCTCATTCGTGGCTTGTGTGAACCAGCAGATGGCTGAGCTGATAACTTATCAGGAGGTAATGTACTGGAGATGTCATTCTGGCTCAGAGTTAATTCATTGCTTTGTTGACTGAATGATTGAGGTTCTTCATATATTTCCTAGGTCCAAAACATATATACCAAGCCAATGACAATAAGTACTTCAAATTTTGGAGGTCCACTACTTGTTACTACATAGCAATAGCATAAAATAAATACGTAATAAAAATGAAAACAGTGAAAATAATGAGCTATAAAAGCATGTGAATTTGAAAATAGAGGCAGTAACTAGTAAGACTCAGCTATTTAATCACTTAGACCTTGTTTGGTTTGGGGGTTTTTGAGGGAGGGGGGATGTTTGTGTGTTTGATTGGGGAAGCTTAGGGGCATGGAGGGCTAGAGGAGCTATTGACTCCCTCAAACTCACTCTCCCAATTTGAGGTAATTCGCAAGATTTATATTTTTCCCTGAATTTCTGTTCATTTTGTTAATCAAAATTCTATATTTATATTGGTAATAGATTATGAGATATTTCTTTAAGTATTACTCCCTCCGCCCCTTAAAACTTTGCCAACTTTCCTTTTTTGGATATCCCACTAACTTTGCCACTTTCCCTATTAAGTACAGAATTTGTGGTTCGAGTTAATTGTCTCTCCTCTGCATAAAACTCAACCACACCGTTTTTACTTTATTAATCCGCGTGCCGGTCAAACTTGGCAAAGTTGTAAGGGACGGAGGGAGTATTTAAGTAAAATTATGGACAAAAATGTGACTCGAGTTACTATGAGTATACCGTCCATCACTGTAAAATTGAACGTAATCATGATCACTAAATTATTATTATAGTCACTAAAGTATAAAAAGTCACATTTTGATCCACTATCTTTATTTTAGTATATATTTGTTATTATTTTATAGATTGTTATATAGTTTTAGTTGCATCAAAACTATATCAAATCTAAAAATTTTATATTCTTCCTAGATTAAAAATTTATCATCATTTATACATTAAGTCAAACATAACATCTTTATGATCTCCTCTATTAGCCCATCCACTTCCTTTTTTGAACCAAACAAAGTTAAAAATTATGCAGGCAGCTCAACTCTTAACCATGAATTTATTTATCTCATGTGGAGAGTCAGAAATGATATGCTGCTTGTATAAAGCATCATGTTCAATATGGTCGATGTTCTCGGTTTATCAAAACATATATATAAAATTTGCTCAATACGTACATCAATCCGAGGATTCTCTCCATCACAACCAATAGCAATGTGAAGTTCATCCGATAGTAATTGTAATTCCATTTGCTCAGTAAGTTGTAAGTCATTAAACCCACAATATCCACGATTAGCACCATCCAAACTGTCTGCGGGTATATTTTGTAAAACTTTCAAGCTATCCTCTGAAGGACCTTTCACACTATGAACAAGTGATGGTGAGTCTGAAGGTTTAATGCTGAAATTTGGGAGTCTGCGAGGTGAAGGATTCGGAAGAAAAGGCAAACTTCCGAGACGCAGTGTAGTTTCTAAACTAGCTGAAGATGAAAAATGCAAACTAGTACAGAATGTGGAAGCACGAGAAAAATTGTTCTGGGGTTGCTGGAAATGAGCTTCAGGAGAAAAGGAACTGAATTTCAACGATGGAGTAGGAGAAAGTCTTGGTGATTGTTCTGTAAATTTGAGCAAAAAATCAGACAAGTTATGGGAGCCATCATCTGGCTGCAAGTCTTTTACGGATTCGCTAAATGATACATTATGAATGTCAGATACTGTAGTGCAATTAGGTTCAGATACTTCATCTCCCAGTTTAGAGTGATTCCCAGGTAGAAGCAAGTGATTATTCTTCATGATAATAGATGCATCAGAAACCGCTCTAACCACTCAAATTGAGAATCACAGCATAAAGTGATAGAGACACCCACTGTGAGATATCAACTGCCACGATGAGCTGCTTCTCTCCATCCTTAATCACCCCGAATGAAAATTTATAAACTTGAAATCAGAGAATCTCAAAACAAGCTCAGTAAGCAACAATTATCGCCTGCCAGGAGAGAAGAGAGCATTAAAGTGGCATCAACATGAAATGCGAAGATCTAATCCTGCGCAGGTGTACATGATGCAAATAAATCACCATAAAATTAGCCTTTTTTGTAACCACGCACCCCACCACCACCGCAATTGAGAACCATACCTGGGGGATGACGAAAGTTCATTCCGACGGCAAGATTGCCAAACTCAGTTCCGAACACATCGTCGCCGGCGTAGAAGAAGAATGTTGTGGTGCTATGGTGGAACTGGTGGGGAGTAGGATTGAGTGAAGGTGATTGGGGCAGGGGATTGGGTCGAGTCGCCGCGCTTTCTCCGGTAAATTCCGACCTTATAACCCCCCAAAATGGGAGCTTGTGGCATTTCAATCATTGCTATGTGGGTGCACCGGCACAGTGTTTTTGGTCGATCGTCAAAACTGAGAGGGAAACATCAAATACCAAGTTTACTGCGCATTTATCTTCCATATAGGTGTAACAAGTTTTACCTAATAATTCAATCTGGAACACATCCAAATGAATTGTTAAAGATAACTGCATTTTTAACTGCGCAGTTATCTTTTAGAATTCATTTGAATGCCTTTCCGATTGAAGTTTTAGATGAAATTTAGTATGAGTAACTATATTTAATGAATAAGATGCTCAAAAAATTTCATCAAATTAATCCACCGGAAACCGTCCCAAATGGCGACGGCCGGACTGAGTCTCCTAACGGCTTATTTGACCTTTTTATGTAAGTTCGAAGGCCTATCTCACCCTTTTCCCAAACTGATACTCCCTTTATCAAATCAAAACTGATACTCCCTCAGTCACATTTTACATGTCCTACTTTCCTTTTTGGGTTATCCCAAAATAAGGGTCTCCTTTCCGTTTTTGGAAAGAAATGTGTGGTCTTTCACTTTATTGTACTCAAATATCAACCATAATTTTTACTTTTTCAACCACTTCATTGATAACCGTGTCAAGTCAAACTAAGACACATAAAATAGACGGAGGAAGTATAAGTCTTGGTTAAAATTTAATAGTGTTCCAAAGTTTATCTTTAGTCATTTATAAGTTAGTTTTCATAACTGAACATTTTACCAAATACCAAGAAGAACTAAAACCGTTTCTATATTCCAGAATATGAATGTCATGTTTTTATTCTGAAAATAGGAGTGATGAATTATGAAGATCCAAACATATATAATCAAGGGAGAGTTGTGTTAATAAGTGAAGAAGATGATGAATATTGTATTGAATGTGTATTATTGATTCTAGGTTTACAAGACCTCTCATATGGAGTATTTATAGAGAAATTACAGGCTGAGCCGCTAATATGGGCCCGATATGCCAACAATAAAAAACGTTAATCTAGTAGATAAACTGATGTGTAAAATATACAATACCTAAGTGATATCCGCTAAACGTGTGTGAGCCGTTGTCCAAGCTCAATAGTCGTAAGACCCAGGGTCCGATTCGAAGGGAGTAGAGCTATGTGTTGTTACGCCGTCGTCTAGTGGGTATACTTTTAGTGTCGCCGAGGCGCCTCACCCAGATTCCCAAACAGCTGATCCGATCTCATCGGCGAGCCCTGACTGAGGCAAACATGCGGGAGAATCCTCAACCAAAGGTCGCTGACCAGAGACCATCACCACTGGTCCTGGGGCTGAAGGGCTATGTATGTGTACTTGCTGTTCATGGCAACTGAATCTGCATATGATGTGATGATGTCGTCGGTGCATGTGGCAAAACTTGTGAAAATTTTGAACTTATACTTATGTAAAAAGGCCATCGTAATATATCGAAAAAACCAATTAAAACCTCTTACTGAAAAACACACAATCAAGTATCCTAACTTTAAAAAAGTGTTCAAAACAACTTTTAGTAGGTTAAAAACAAGTTGGCCGGTAACTATATACAGGCACCATGGTGTTCTTTTTTCTTTTTAATTTTATTTTATTTCTTCTTGTTCCCTCTTATCTTCTTCACTAGTTCTAAGTACGCTTGCAATTTCTTTATAGCAATCAAAGGAGACCGCTCCTTGCTCCATCAAGATACATATTACATGTCCTTATATGCATTCATCGCCATAAATCAACACCAAATTTTTCCTCCCTTCGAAGCTACCACCACCAAAACGACCGACAAGAGGAGGAGCGATGGTCACTGAAGCCTCCTCTTGCAACGTCGGTGAAGGTCGTACAAGCAACAAAAGACAGACGAACAGTCCACGGGGACCACTAGCGGCAACAACTTGACAGAAATTAGATCCACCCACGTTCACCTCAGAGCATCCGGTGTGCCCTTCGTTAAACCCAAATAGGCAGTTGGAGCTAAAAACATATTTAGGGGTCTGTGATTAAGGGCGTGAGATGTAAGACATCTATCGCCCCTACTTCATATGACACTTTGTCACATGTAGCTCGCAAGGGTTATGTGACAAAGTGTCATATGAAGTTGCGGCGGCGGGCAGCGGTTGCTGAAGATGATGGACGAACCCACCTGAGAACAAGGAGCCAACGAGCGGAGAACAAGGGGAAAGAAGAAAGGGGAGGTGGACAGAAAGGAAAGGGGAGGAGGAACTCAGGAAAGATAGAAAAGTAAGAAGTTGGAGGAGCAAGTAGACTATGGAACAAGAAAGCAGGGAATAGGAAGAAAGCGAAACAAATATAAAAAAGATAAAGAAAACAAAAATCCATTTATGCTTACCGGTCAGATGTTAACCTACTAAAGAGCTGATTTAAACACTTTTTAAAAGTTAAGGTACTTGATTGGGTGTTTTTTAGCACGTTGACTTAATTGACTTTTTCAATATAGTATGAGATCTTATTTGACAATTTTCCCATATTTATTCATATATATAAGGTTTTTTTCTTGCCCCTCCATGTCTCGACCATTTGTCTCCACCAATATTACCAAATATTACCAAAGTATTGCTTATAAATAACAAAGCGACAATATTGAAACTTTTCAAAAAGTGACTAAAGAATTACTACGTATATAAATCATAAAAAAGACATAATCGTATTTTATTAAATTGTCCCTCCTATCCCGAGTGGCGAGTGGCACTCTTAAGCTCTTCTCAATCACCAATAAGTAATGATAGTGACACCGCCACTCGCAATGACAGTGACACAACGACACCACACTCTTGACGGCTACACCGCTTCAGATAGTGAAACCGTTGCTTCCTTATTTGGTGACCTTATCATCCAGTGACATCAGCTTCCCCGACCAAGGGAATAGCTGTAACACTTGAGATTTAATATAAATGGATTAATAGTACTACTCATACCAACAAGGTGCATCTCCTTTTAAGGGAGCTCATTAGCCAAGAACTCCAAAGTTAAGCGTGCTTGCACGGGAGTAGTCTTGGGATGGGTGACCCCCTGGGAAGTTTCTCAAGGCGCGCACGAGTGAGGACAAAGTGCGCCTAAAAGGCTAGTGGCGGTTTGTGAGGACAGTACTATTGGTCCGGAGTAACTACCTCGGGTCCTACAGGGCCGGGGTGTTACAAATGGTATCAGAGCAACCCTGCGACAGTGTGCTGATCCGTTGGATATCGGGCGGGCACTTAGCTGGGGAAGATTCTGGGATTTGATTGAGATTTGAGATTGGTTCAAGGGCGCAACGAGGACGTTGCGATCCTAAGTGGGGGTGATTGTAACACTTGAGATTTAATATAAATGGATTAATAGTACTACTCATACCAACAAGGTGCATCTCCTTTTAAGGGAGCTCATTAGCCAAGAACTCCAAAGTTAAGCGTGCTTGCACGGGAGTAGTCTTGGGATGGGTGACCCCCTGGGAAGTTTCTCATGGTGCGCACGAGTGAGGACAAAGTGCGTGTAAAAGGCTAATGGCGGTTTGTGAGGACATTACTATTGGTCCGGAGTAACTACCTCGAGTCCTACAAGGCCGGGTGTTACAATAGCTGCCCAACAATATTGGATCAAGTGTTGGTGTAAGTATCATGTAACTGAAACCCTAGTGGTCACAGACGATGTTATTAGAACCTAAATTAATGGAATCATATATGGTTTGCATGAGAGGGAAATTCAAACTCAAAACTCTTGAGTCTTGACACCAAACATAATCACACTTTTATTCTAAGAGCTCGTTTGGTGACATTGTTTTTTTGCTCACCAACCTTATCAGTCAACTTTGTCATAAAAAAAAATATAACTTTTGATTTTGCGCGTTGTTTGTGTAATAGTCAAATTAAGTAAGGTTGAAGTTTTTCCCCCGACTAAATTGGCTGGAGTTATTGTAGAAATCCATTTTAGCTATTTTCATATAATTTTTATTTTATTTTATTAATGTTGCAATTTTTAAAGAACGGATGAATTGAAGTATTTCATAATTCAATAGAATTAGTTAGTTCAATTACTTTAATCAGAACTTCATAAATTTCAGTGGAATTAACTAATTCAATCAATTTTAATGTTCTCTAATCCAGATAAATCAAAATAGGTCCTATTTTCCTCTTTTAAGTCTAAACTAAGGTAAAGTCCATTGGAATTGAAGCAATCAAACTTTTTTCTCTCTAGGGTGGATTTCCCTAGCTAGGGTTTTCTTCTCCGCTATCGATTCTTTCGAGGAGCAGCCGTCTTCCCTACACTAGTTAGGGTTTTTTGTTCCGCTAATCGATCTTCGATCGTGTGGCTGATTTTTTCGTGGGACATGAGCTTCATGCGGTTTTCCTCTTTGGAGTTTTCTGGACGTGAGTGGAACGCAAGGGCGGTGGGTGCATCTTGAATTTTTTGTGGGTGAAGAAACACAATGCAACATGAAAATTTTCTTCTCCCCCTCGGACATGGATTTCAATGGCAAATCTCAAGGAGCAAATTAACGAGAGAAAATTGACGAGCGCAAGAAGGATAATGTTATAGTGTTTCAGATGAATTTTCCGAGGGTTGAAATTCTCTTTTTACCATAGTACAGCAGCCCGCCCTCCTCTGGAACCACTTCCGTGCAAGGAAGCGATTTGGGGAAAGTTTTAATTTTCGTATTATATTTCCATTCGCAGTACTTATTTTTATTTCAGTTCGAGCATGTATGATTAGAGTATTTTGATTTTTGAAGAACTTTTGATAGACAATACTTCATTTTTTATCGTCTTAGGGTTCTTCTTGCTCGTTTTGTGTCTAGCGAGTCAGGTTGCTTTGTATCGATGGCTGACTTTAAGTCTATTCCTAGGGCTTACGACTGGATCTGTAATATCTGTCTGAATTTTGTCTTGCATGTTTGCTCTATATCAATGAAAAGCGATAAAAAAGAGTCTTAACTAAGGTATTATTTTGAATAGTTATTTCAAATAAGTCAAAATAGGCCCTATTTTCCTCTTTTAAGTCTAAGCTAAGGTAAAGTCCATTGGAATTGAAGCAATCAAACTTTTTTCTCTCTAGGGTGGATTTCCGTAG